CCCAGGAAGAGAGCGTTGGAACAGTTCGCCGACGCCGCGAGTTCCCGGTCTTCCTTTCCGGTGATAAACGTCGGGGCCGCGAGCCAATTGCTGCTCGAGATGCTCCACCCGCAGCCCGAGGCTCGCTCTCGGCTCCGCGGGGACCCAGATCCAGCACCCGGAGGATCCCTTCACCTCCGCAAAACTGAAGGGCTGAGCGCCGGGCCGCGGGAGGCGGGACCCCCGGCGGGGTCCGGGATGCCCGGGTTCCCCCCTCCTTGGTCTTTGGCGCTCCACCGCGCCGGGGAGGAGCTGGGCGTGCGTCAGAACCGCACCTTCCCGGACGCTTCACCCGGGACGCCTGGGTGAGGTCGGAGGGTCACGGACCTCCCCGGCTGCCCTCCTGGGGAGCTCTGTATATAAGCCCGGCACCAGGGACCAAAGCCACAAGTCTGAATTTCCCTGAGGCCCTGCCCTCCCTCCGCATCCTTGCCATGCACGGACTCGGCAGCTCCAAATTTACAAGCGCTCGCTCTTCCTCTCTGCGTGAGGGAAAGCAGTGAGTTGAAAATCATCTCCGGGTTCCTGCGATCTGTACATAGTTATCTCCGTATCCTCTCCCTCGACTCCCCACGCCTCAGGCTCCGGGACTTCTGTTTGCCGGAGGGTAGCCTAGCCTATCCTGAACGAGCGTCCCTGCTGGGCGCCCGCTGACGCTCTTTTGCTGGGAGCTTCAGCAAAAGAAAGGTACCTGCCTCCGCGGGAGCTCGAGGCCACCCTGAGGTTTCCTCCTTCCCCGCCTCATCTCGACCGCAGACACCTCTGGCCATCGTTTCATCCTCGGCTGCATAAGCCCCGCGCCCCTCCCCGCCGGAGCCGGGCGCAGAGCCCCCTCCCTCGACTGCGCCCGGCGGGTGGGAGCAGAGCGGGCTGGGGCGCGCGAGAGGCGCGCAGAGCTCTCTGCTGCCCGCGCTCCCCGCGCCTGGGGAATTGGGTTGTGGGCGCGGCGGCCGGGACTGGCCTTTATCGCTCGCCCGGCTGGTCGTTTGAAACTTTATCAGCGAGTCTCGCCACTCGCTGCAGACCAAGCGGGGGGCGGGGGCGCGGCGAGGCGCCGGCGGGGTGACGGGGCGCTCCGGGTGCTGAGCGCTTCTGCTCTGGGCACGCATGGCGCCCGCACACGGAGTCTGACCTGATGTGGACGCGAGGGGATTAATATGAACGCCCCTATCGGTGGAATCTGGCTCTGGCTCCCTCTGCTCTTGACCTGGCTCAGGCCTGAGGTCAGCTCTTCATGGTGGTAAGTCCACGCGTACCGGCGCGCGGAGGGCGGGAGGCGCGGATTTCCGATGTGGGCATGGGGACCGCACTGGCCACGGAGACCCTTTCGGGCGGCGCTTCCCGCGGCTGCGGCAGTCGCGGATTCCAGCCCGAACCCTGGCTGCTGCCCTGTCCTATCGCCTACCCCGAGTCCCTTCGCTTTTCCTCTGAAGACCATTCCAACTTTAACAACTCCAAAAAAAAGGAAAGAAAAGGAAAACCCCCGCATTCCCCCTCCAATGAGAGCTCTGATGTTTGATTTATTTGGATCCAGCTGAGCGACAGCAAAATCAGCCAGTTTCATATCCCATTAAGAGACGTGTGTGTGTGTGTGTGTGTGTGTGTGTGTGTGTGTGTGTGTGTGTGTTAACACTTGTTGCCACCTGGCATATTATATATTTATTTACCTGTTTAGGCTTAATAGAATGTGAGCTTCATGAAAGCCGAGGAAAGTCCTTTTTGTTCTGAATGATGGTATATTATTAGTAGTTAATAAGGATGATAAATGAATAAATATATGATTTCCTCCCANTCGTCCCCCGCCTCTCCCCCACACACCCCCAAACTCAAGATAAACCTAGGGGTCAGTTCAGACAGTCAGTCAGGAGCTGTAGAAGCCAAAACCTGTGATTTTGCATCATTTCCCGCCCTTCCACAGCCCTAATACTTCTCTCCCCAGTGGGGCAGAAGAACTGTGCGCTGCCGGCCTCCAGGTGGAGGCTACGGCTCAGAGAGAAGCCCCGGGGGCGGGGGCTCAAAACCACAGGCCCCTTAAAGTGTAACTTTGCTGCTCCTCTGTACGTTGATCAGCGATTTATTTTTTTAGTTTGCACAGTGAGCATAACAGGTCTTAGCAATGATACAAAGAGAGATTCTCTACCCACCCAGAAACTCCTCTTCATCTTCCAACCTAATAATCTGGAAAGAGGGAATTGAGAGCTCTTCAACGCCCTTGACCTAAAAGTTTCCCCACAGATATTAAAATACTGATTCAGAAAGACTTGTTACCTTGGGGTATTTTTTAATTTTTTTTTCAAGAACTTGGCAAAAGTAAGGAGTCTCAGCAAGTGAAAAACTAGAGCAGGAAGCTTCAGGAAGCTCTTCAGAGGAGCATGGCAGAGCATGGATGGGAAGAGGGGTTCAGTTTCTCCTTAAGCCTCTTTGATCAGGAAGGCATTTAGCTTTGACATTGCTGACACAGGATCAAAGATTGATTTATCAGAATGACCATTTTTCAATAAAATGACTATTTCTGTTTCCATGGTTAAACATTATTTATTGTCCAGACTTTTTGTCACATTGTCTCTCAGCTGTCACTTAAATATGTTTTTTGGAAATCACAGCTGTAACGATTTTATGATCATATAAAATAATAAAAATATAAGAAAAGACATTCTCCTTGTTTGATCACTTCAAAAGACACCTATGGCAGCTTGGGTTATATAAAAGGTACCTTTCTAAACATTTCACAACTAATAGAGAACATCTGGGCAGAGATGATGATGTAATTTTTTGTTAAAGTTTCTTTTCAAAAGTACTTTATGGAGCTATAATACTGTTTGATTCTTCCAAACATTTAGTGTCCTTAATAACAATAGAAAGAACTTTTTCCAAAGATTCTCTATAAAGGCCAAGAAGAGCTGGAAAATGGAAATATTTAAAGCATTCTTTAGTAAGGAAAGAACGGCATGTCTGTGAGGAGTGTGTAACATCAGATACCAGCAGGTGTCGATTAGACAGATACAGACAGTTTCTTAACACACTTAAACATTCGGGTCAAATAAATGGGAGAGAGAAGCTTTAAAGGTCGGCTTCCCCCAAAGCCAAGTCCAGACACATTTCATCACTGAGATCAGAGCCTTCTTGGGAACAGTCTTTGAAGGTTCTTCCCAAAAGATGTTGCCCCTCCCTGCTCATTCTGTTCCCTGACTTCCCAGAGAATCATCTGTCAGCTCTTGATTCATGTCCAAGACAGTCATCGCTCCATTTTGGGGTAGCTTCTACCAGATTACTCCTCACGCCAGCCATGCTGCTTCTCCACAGAACTAAAATGAAATAACCTTTGCTTCCTAATATCCCCGAAGGGATAAGGAATTCATACTTGAAACGTGCTTTGAACTCCTCAGTCTCCCAGGAAACATGGCTCCAGGCCTCAATTTCAGTGTTCTCATCTCTGTGTTGGTCCTTCCCAGGTACATGAAAGCTACAGGCGGCTCCTCCAGGGTGATGTGTGACAATGTGCCAGGCCTAGTGAGCCGCCAGCGGCAGCTGTGCCACCGACACCCAGATGTAATGCGCGCCATTGGCCTGGGCGTGGCAGAGTGGACAACTGAGTGCCAGCACCAATTCCGCCAGCACCGCTGGAACTGCAACACCTTAGACAGGGACCACAGCCTCTTTGGCAGGGTCCTGCTCCGAAGTAAGTCTCCTGCCTTCAGGCAGCTCCTGGGGCTCTCCCCTCACACACTCCTCCCTTTGTTTGTCTTCAAAGTCCCTGTTTATTTTTTCTTGCATTTTTATTCAGTCAGAAGCTTGTTCTGTTGGGGGCATTGTCCCTGTTTTACAGATGAGGACGTAAGAAATCAAGAACTTGCCTAAAGTTTTGTAGGAGGCTAGTTATAGATTAGAATGTAGACCCCATTTTACTTTTTGCTCTGTCTCTCTGTTGCTGGAAGAATTAGTGGGCGAGATTTCCCAGACACAAGTGGGTGTGAGGTTCTTGGGGTATTCCTGAAATAAGAATTTTCAGAAGCCCCCAAGGGAGAATGAATGTGGAAAAAGACTTTATTTGAGTGGAGTTACATTCCTCAGGTTCCACTGTCCCATGTCCCTTAACCCAGACCTGAAAGAGGTGCTGCTAGGGGTCCAGCAGATCCAAAAGGAGGGCTAGTGTCCAGAGCTTCCATTCCATGTTGCAGCTGGGTCCAGTTCACTACTCAGACTAATTAAAGTTCCCTTAGTCCATTGTAGGGGTTCCACATGGCCATGGGCCATGTGGGCATAGGGGAGTACAACCCCTGCAACAGGAGAGCCAGGAGCCCGGCCCGCAAGAGAGGCAAGAGCAAGAGAATAAAAACCAAGAGAGCTCGCTCCTTTGTTTAGAAGTTTTAATATTTAGGTTTCTAGCCCTTGCAGTGGCCTTGCCTATTCTGACCATTAATTTATTCTCACGTGTGACTGACAGACAGGTAGGCACCTTCCCACATCACTCAGACCTTACTGGGCATGCATCTGAACTGCCTTTGTCCAGTCCCTTCCCCCAACGATCAGCGGGGAACAGACTTAGAGAGTGTTACATTAGCAAAGCTGTATAAATGGCATGCCTGTATTATCTAGTCTTCCCTTTACTCCTTTCCTGTTAAATAATAACCAGATTATTACAACAGTATCATATCCATGTCATGTTACAGCCCTTCCTGTTCCTCCAGGTTGAGATTTTGTCTCTAGGAGAAAGGAGGCAGCAACCACAGGGCTTTTTTGATTTTTTTACTCTTCTGGGACTTGAACCTTCCAGAGGATTTGAGCAGAAGATGACGTTGGAATGCTCAAATCTTTTATTGGCCGTAGATGGCTATTATTACAATAACACATAAATGTTATTAAGAAGCAGAGACAAATCTCTGCTCACCACTTTTGACCTCCCATTCAGCTATTCAGCTTTGGGTCACGCTATGTCTAAATTAAACTTTTTTTTTTTTTTTTTCCAGTATACTGTAAATTCTATAAGTCAGGATAGCCTGCCTTCCCTGCATCTCACTTGGTGCTTTGTGTGTTGCAGGTACCATTCATTCATTGAATGGTTGAGTAATGAATGGATGAACTTCTAGTGAACGCCTGTTATTTCCCAGGTACATTTTAGGTAGAAGGGTATTTATGGAGGGTAGAAGTGCAAGCCATGAATGCATAGTTAGGTTGTTTTGTTTTGTTTTGTTTTTTTAACTTAGAAGGAGCATTAAACATTATATAATTACCTAATAAACGTTTTAAAAGTCCTGAATGTGGAAAGTACCTTACTAGCTGGTACACAGAGAAAATTAACTGAAAATCACATTTTATTTTAAAAAAATATTTGTTCCTTAACCTGGTGTTATATCCATTTTCCAAGAAATAGCACGGCCCATTTGCTACTGGGAAATCTGACTTAAACATAAAAGTTTTGTGTGAGCCCCAGAAAGAGGAAACTTTACACTTGTTTTT